TGCCAGTCCCAGTCTCTTATCCCAGCTTAGTAGGAAAGACCTGTCAGTCGCTGACTCCACTATCTCTTCTTGCTTGCACATCAATTATGTCTCATATTTGAACTGACCAATGAGTAACTGGGGCATTGCAAACACAATTTCCAGTTCTTCAGAAACTCTAAGCCTAATCTGAAAGAAATAAGTTGAGAGTTGTCACAATCAAGGACTATAAATGCACCAGCCCCTGAACTCCTTTCTTTTCTTACCTGACAACATCAAATGTTCAGAAGCAAAATGACATTAGGTGAATGTTGAGAGTCTGACGCCACCATAAGCTTACTCACCTTTGCAGTATTCCAAATAAAATAAATTTCTTTCAGGTAAGAGTACTACTATATCCCCTCTTATTTAAGTAAGAGATAATTGGGACTATTGCCTGTGTTTGGCAATTTTTTTTTTTTTTTTTGAGACGGAGTCTCACTCTGTCGCCTAGGCTGGAGTGCAGTGGCGCGATTTCGGCTCACTGCAAGCTCTGCCTCGCGGGTTCCTGCCATTCTCCTGCCTCAGCCTCCCGAGTAGCTGGGACTACAGGTGTACGCTGCCATGCCCGGCTAATTTTTTGTAGTTTTAGTAGAGATGGGGTTTTACTGTGTTAGCCAGGATGGTCTCGATCTCCTGACCTTGTGATCTGCCTGCACTGGCCTCCCAAAGTGCTGGGATTCCCTCAGGAGCTAGGCTATGAGAACTTCGCCTACCTTTTCCTTCTCTCCCACCTAACTCCTAAATATCCCTCAAGATGCTGCTTAAAAATAACTTTCTTTTTCATGTGTTTATTATAATGCTTACCACTGGCACACTGGAATTATTTACTTAGACAGTTGTCTCACCCACTACATTAGGAAATTTTCCAGGGGAACGGTTTTGTTCCAAACACTGAGCACAAAGTAGAATGCACAGTAGTAAGTTCTTAACATGTTTTCATTGAATAAAATCTATTTATACCTTCCTTGATGGCTGTCAAAAAACTATTTAAACCATGAAGAATTAATAACATAATTAAGTTGTATATCTCCACCGAAGCACATCAAAATAAAAAGTGCATTTATGGTCCAAAACAAAGACATAAGTAAAAAGCAAATTCAAAGCAAGAAAAATATCTGCAACTCCTATCATACAAATATGATTAATTTCCTTAATATGTAAACCCTTAGAAATTGAGATGAAAAAGATCAATCAGCCAAAAGATACATGAGCAAGGACATGAACAGACAGTTCACATAAAAATGATCCTTAGTGAGAAGACACTCAGCCTTACCCATACTTTTAAAAATGAAAATGAAATGATAAGTGAGAAGCCATTCTCACTTACCATGTTGGCAAAAATCCAAAAATTCAGTAATATACTCTGTTAGAGAGACTGTGGGAAAACAGGCACTTTTGACATTTCTGGAGGAACCCAAGTGACACAGCTCCGACAGGGGACAGTGTAGCAATTTCCATACAGTATTACAAATGCTTTCATCCTTTAACTCAATTAACCTAGGACAGGGAGTTTATCCTGTAGAAATCTCTGCACAGTTACAGAATGACATGCACAAGTGATGTGTTATGGTATTGTTTGTAACAGCCTAAGAAACAGCTCATTTCCATAAAGAGAGGAGTGGTTAAATAAAGTGCAGTATGTCCTCAAAATGGAATACTAGGTGCTGAAAAAGAATGAGGACACCTTGTCTGTTACATTGTGAGAAGGTATTCAGGATAGATGGTTCAGAAGAAAAGCTCAGAATAGTGAACCCATTACGATGCCTATAGTGTCATAAAGAAGAGGAAAAACATATGTATTTGTTTTGGTTTGCAACTGCATAAAGTACTGGAAAGGTATACTGTAAGGAGGGGGGCCGACCAGGTGGATAGACTAGAAACAAAACTCAACGTATACCATTTTAATTTTTAAAATCCATGAATTAAAAACTAATAATCCACCTGTGAATTATTACTTATTAAAAGTTAAAACTTTTAAATCCTACACATTGCACATAGTGTTTAGAGCCAAACTGCATATGTTTAAATTTCTGCCTCACTTATTACATAAATGAATTTCAGCAAATTTCTTAACCCTTCTCTGTCTTGAAGGAATTTGATGAGTTAATAAATACAAAGGAATCAAGCCTGAAACACAGTGAGTTCTACATGACTGTAGTCTGTTATTAATACTGCATTTAACAGTAATAATTTTGAAGAACTCTTTAACCCTCTAGTGATAAGATTTCTTGAATTCTTCTGATATTCCTCACTTCCCCCCCACCCCACACCAAAGGTGGTAAAATGAATGCCAAGAGAAATAGAGTAACATCAAACAGCACTGAGCCAGGGCCAGGTACAAATACAGGAGCCAACACTTGGGCATTGCTGGATCATTGGATCATTCCATGTGATCCATTCCATGTGATCACATGGATCATTCCATGTGATCCTGGCATTGGATCATTCCATGTCACACGTATGGAAACCCTAAGAAACAAAGTCATTGATTTCTCTTCCTGTTTAGCAAATCAAAAAGAGAATATAATAAATTGGATTATGAGGCATTATGAGTGCACAAAGTGTTGGAAGATGTGCAGGACATCTATAAAACACAGCTCCTGAAAGTATCTGCTGCAATTCTTGATGAAATCAATAGACGACATCTTTCCTAGATACCCAGAAAACGGGAGTCGCTGTCAGGCTGGGAGTTTCTAGAGACAGAATCTAAGTAAATATGTGGCCACAGGTTCCATAGCACTGCTTGTATTTACAGTTTTGAACACACCCATCCCATGGTTGCTTATTTAAAAAAATAAAAACTCACGGATGCAGAAATGATATAATCAGCAAGGCACTGTCAGTAAATTTGCCAACTCCCTTTGGATGGCTTATATTGCCTGTTTCTGTGGAAAATGAATTTGTGCATGACATTTTGATGTTTGGATTATCGGATAACGCCGATTCAAAACAGCACAAAGAAACAGCTTAGGCATTTTTCCTTCTAATCAGAAAAAGAAGCTTAACACATTGTGGAGAAATTGTGCCCCCTGCTGATTTAATTTGATATTAGCGTCATTGGTTTTTTGGTGGTTTTTTTTTTTTTTAAGACCTGCAGTGCCGCAGGGTAGCGCAGTGTCTTCAAGGTCAGTAATTTACATGGCCTCCTCTCAGAGGCTGAGGCAGCCTCTCCGTGCAAATAGGAAGTTTTTGCTTGATAGTGACCTTGGGAAAAAGGAAGCAAAGGAGGAATGCCTCCTTTTATGAGCTTTGTGGAGATACTCTAAGAACCTTCTCAGTATTTCCCGTACCTTTGGCGACTCTGGATAGGGAAAGCCAGCAAGCAGTGCAGAGAGAGGAGCTAGTTGCTGGTGAGCACACGCCCCTTGTAATTAATCCCCACTTCCGGACCGAAGGACGGTAGAGCTCAATCTGCGAAAACTATTATCACCAATGAATAGCAATCGCGATGGAGCATTCCAGATGCTCAGCTGTCATTCTATTAACTAGATGTGAGCCACCCTCTGAAAGGCTCCAGCCCTGGACAATATTGTTAACCAGGGATGTAGCATTAGTAACGGCAGCCTCCTTCTGTGGCCCTCATTTTCATCTTGATGCTTTGTTCCCTTCTTGTTTATTGCCTCTCCACCTGGGCTTTTAATCTGCTTTCCTAGGCTGGTACTTATTTCCAACAAGCTGCCAAGTAATCTCTCTGGAAAAGTCAACGGCCTTTTTTTTTTTCTTTCTGTTCTTTACTTGCGTTTTTCTTTTTTTGTGTATTTTTCTTTGTGTGTGTGTGTGTGTGTGTGTGTTTGCTTGTATTTTGCTCGTGTTCTTTGCTTTGCTTGTGTTCTTCTTCTGATATTTGCATCTTTAGGAGAAATTCCTGAATGAACACAGAGAGGACTTTAGCAATGCATTCGGCCTTGGAGAAGATAAAGGAGGAAGTTTTCAAAGTGGGGGAGGACCTTTCCTCACATCTCTCCTAGACAAGGCCACAGGCTGCGTGGCTGCGTCTCTGCCGACTGTGACAAGAACAGCCTCTTCCAGTCTACATGATGCAATACTTTTCCAAGATTCAGTTAACAGAGAGGTAGTAAATATTGTCTTTCCCTCCTCTGTACCTTAAAAGGGCTTTCAGTCTTTCCAAGGGCCCTTTGCTTTTTGGTTAGAGTTGCCAGATTTAGTGAATGAAAGTCCAGTGTACCCAGTTTGAATTTTATTTTAATATGAATTCCAGATAACGATTTTTTAAAAAGTATTTGTATTTGTTGTTTATCTGAAATTCACATTTAACTGGGCTGCCGTACTTTACCTGGCAACCCTATCTTTGATTGAACTCTGTGTTCACGCTATTTAGCGTGAAACTGTTTCCAGGGCATTCTAAATCGAACTGAGTGACTGCTGAGCCAGGGCGGGAGGTGGTGGGCCTTGGAACCCAGGGTGGCCTGGGCGGTGCGTCTCCTCGCGCTGCTGCCTCAGGCTCTCGCCTCCCTCTAGCGGCCGCCAAGGACTTCACACACGCGGAGCGGAAGCCCTACTGGGTGGCAGCTGCCGGCTCCAACCCGGGAAAAGGCACGTCCGAAAGGGCTCACCCTCAGCGACTTTCTCCTGGAGGGCTGCGGTGGGGGCCTGCACAAGAAAGTGGCCTTGTTCCCAATAGCGGAAATGGAGTTTCCCTTGTTTCACTTAAAAATACAATGACAAAAATGCCTCTGTACAACAGCCTAAGTTGACAGTTGATGTCTAACCCTGGGCTGTACTCACCACTAAACACTGATAGATGTTGTCATTTTCATGCTAAAGAGACCCCACTCATCCCAAATAATTTGTCAAGGAATATTCATGTAGACAGCAAGTTTTGGAAGGTGGAGATGCTTATCTGTCTTCTGTGATGTGCCTGTGCCTGTGCCTGATAGCCAGTAAATAAGTTTAAATGAATTGACAGTGAAATACACTACAGGCTTGGCATTAAAAACAAAGAGGAAACCTATTCCTACCCTCAGAGAATGACCACTTCATCGCAGAGGAGATGATGGCTGCAGTGCTTATGCTCAGCAAAGACTATGGAATTTGAGTCTTGGAATATTAGTTCCTCTCTCAACTTAGGAAATGGATGTCTGGAGGTCTGGGCCAGTCGATAAGGGATTGATATACCTGAGACTGTTTTACAAAACACTGCTTTTAGTGTTTAATGACGTGGGATAGTGTCTAGAGCAGTAGAATGGAGCCAGAACATAGGTTCTAGAATCCAGAGATGACTCCCAGCTTACATCTGAGTTCCTTAAAGGACAGTTTCTGTAATGTAGGTGTTCCATGATTACTTGTTGAAAGAATGAATAAGACTGTGTCTATCACAACCATCTCCACACTCATTGGCTTTAGTGGAGTCAAGGCAAGGTAGAGATTTTAATGACCGAATTCTAGTGATAGGGGCCCCTACCACCAATGGCAGTATTAAGGGGTGATTAGGGAAAAGGGTAGCTTTTAGTCTCTTTCAAGTCACGCAAACAAAGATCACAGAATCTAAGCAAAAGCAAATGTCTTGCTTTACAGCTTCAAGACAAAGTCCCTGGAAGTTGCCCCCTTTTAAATAGATTGTCTCTTAGTCTTGCTATGCAGATACACTGGATCCTATAACCATGTTAGCCCTATCTGTAATCTTACAAAGTCGGGTGGTAGGTATTTGCTCAGGAAATTGAGACACTAGGTACTCACACTTTTAAAAATAACACATAAGGAAGGCAATAATAATTACATAAGATAATACATTCCAGGCTCTATCTCTTGTTATCTCATTTAATGTTCACTGTAACCCTATAAGGTTATTATTATTGCCCACATTTTTACAGATGTGGAAATGTCAGCTTAAAGAACTGAAGTAACTTGGCGAAGGTCATAGAGACAGCCAATATGCAAAGTCACATCTGCCTCATTCAACTCTTTCCAACATACGGTGCTGGTACTTGAGTACATGAGGAGGCCTGTTTGTATGCCTCCAAGCAGAATCAAATAGGAAATGTTTGCTAGAAATAAAAAGGAAGCATCAAAGGAAGATATGGAAGGGTCAACCAAAGGGTGAATGGGCTTTGTCCTTTCTTCACTGGAAGTTTGAGCTCAGAGGTGCTGGGTCTCAATAGCTCATTCCTTTAGGAATGAGGTTCTTTACACTTGGACACAGGGAGGGGAATATCACACACTGGGGCCTGTCGGGGGGTGGGGGTCTAGGGAAGGAATAGCATTAGCGAAAATACCTAATGTAGATGATGGGTTGGCGGGCACAGCAGACCACCATGGCACATGAATACCTATGTAACAAACCTGCACGTTCTGCAACCCAGAACCTAAAGTATAATTTTTTAAAAATTAAAAATATATGTAAAAAAAGAAATAACATTCTTTAGATAACAAAGGAGAGGGCAGTGATTCCAAAATCTTTCTCAGCTTTTAAAATGCACACATTTTCAGGCCTTAGCTCCTGGGTATTCTGATCTAGTAGTACTGGGATGGGGCCCTGGAATCTGAATTTTTAGCAAACATAGCAAATTTGAAACCCAGGAGATGTGATGTTATCTGATGTTAATTACTCCTCCAATCAACAACTTAGACTAAATTCTTAAGGTAATTTTCTAACAGATATTTGTATTATTATTTGTATAAGATTATGTTAGGAGAGGAACATCAGGCACTCATTGAATGAACTGGTGTATTTCTAGAGAGCAATATTAATATATCACAATTCTGATGGTATTTTCTATGCCATTTCACTGGCATTTGGCAGCTTATAACATAGCCCCAGTGGAGATGTAAACTCCTTAAATCTGGTAATTCCACTTTATATTGGATTATAAAAGGTTATGTGGGGTAAGAACCTCAAACCATTCAAAGAACAGTTAATCTCATGAAAAGAAAAATTTTGGAACCAAAATGTAATAGTGGTTGTTTTAATTCTATGCTCTTTCAGTCACTTAGATCCTCTACTCATTCTCTGAACAAGCATTTTGTAAGTGCTTACCATGTTTCAGGCTATGCTAGGAGCTATGAAGAAGGGGGAATAGAGCTGCTTGGTTTCATTAACTTTAGTGTGATACACCTTCTGAATCCTGTGAATAAAGAGTCTGGGTAAACTAAGGTCAATAAGTAAAAATAAAGCAGATTACAGATGTTCCCACAGTGAAATTGATCACTGTGCACACTGGTGTTTACTTTAATGGACACATGAATGGTAATGGCGTCAGCACCACACTCTGAGTATCATCAGTTGACTCATGAGAAATTCAAAACACTTTGAAAGGAGGTAAGAAGCTGTGTTACATCTTCAACTTTGAGCCCCATCTTGCTGAATCAGGGAGTCACCTGAATAGGCTTAATATTGAGACCGAACTAGAACGGTTTCAAGTTGTTCAACTAGATATTTCCTTCTTTCTTTGTTACTATATGTTGTTTTTCCTAATTATCTAACTCTTAGGCCTCCCAATTCTATCCCTCCTTGTCAATTTACACCATCCATACTCTTCTGGTTAATTAGGATTTCCTTCTTTAGTCATCACCCCAGCACATAAATTTCATTATTTTTAACTTATCTTACTTATCTCAGTGTAAGAAACTCATCTAAATACACCTATCCACTTCCTTTTGCAGACAAGATCATAACATTTGTAATTTGTCTCAGTTGTAGCTGAATAAGTTACCTAGAAGATGATTTTACAGGTTATTTTTATTTCTTTGCTTATCCTCTGTCTACATTTCTGACATGTGCACCTGCTCCAATATCTAAGGTTAAATCTTTACTAGTTGGGCAGGTGAGTAGTTGATATATGACTAACAGGCAATTCTCCTTCAGGAAACTCAAGATTGTGTAAGTATGCCTGACTCATCCCTGCTGCTGCAACTGAAACATGTAATAAAAGAGCAACAACAAAGAGAGGCGATGATGACAACTTAGCTGCAGCATCTCGTTCTCTAGCTCAACAAGCCAACAGGGAAATTATGACCCTGGTGAAACAAGTAGCTTTCAAAATCATTCCAGTCATTCCAAGGAGTGATGTGATTTTTCTTCACATGTTCACAATGAAGATACTATGTTGTTTAATTGATGCTTTTTTTCAAAGTGTGATCTCTTGTTTCTATATACTTCCCTTATAAGGCTCTATACTGTCATTCAACTTAATTTCTGTTCAACAGAGATTTCTTAAACACCTCCTACATGCTAAGCACTGTGCTAGGAGCTATAAATATCATTAGGTGGATACAGACATGGCTGTCTTCTGGTACATTCTTTTTCCATCATTTAATCAGATTCATCTATTTTTAAATATGTTGATAATGAGTCAGGATATAAGAATATGAGGCTAAAAGCATGGGCTCTGATCAGAGAGACTCGGTGATGAGCCTTAAGCTTATCACTGTTATGGTGGTCATAGACTTACTTGCATGTACTACTGAGCCTTTATTTTCCCATTTGTGAAATAGAGCTCACAGTAGTACCTACTCCCCAGAATAGTTTTGAGGATTAAGTGAAATAAGTGCCCCAGTGTCTTGAATTTAGCAAGTGTTCAAGAAGTAGAAGTTCTATTTAATTAATAATATGATTTTCTTGAGAATGTATACACAGACTCACTAGTTCTCTGCCAGAAGGTAAGGGACCTCCTTGAGCCTCCTAAGAAAAGCTTTTGACAAAGGTTAAAACTGATGTGTAACTGAATTCATAACAAACTTGTTGAATGGCCAACCAGGAAATATTAAGGTGAAGATTTATCATGTCAAGTGAAATTAAGAGAATATGAACTAGTGCTGTGACCCCAAGCTCCCTTTCTTTAAAAGACATTTTCTCTGATTTTTTCTGAATAAAACAAGTCTTGAGAGAGGCTGTGAAATAATAGTTCTGCGGTTATTAGGTCATCTTTAGAAAGTGCTATATAAAATATTATGCATGATATATTCATAATGCACATCATTAGCATGTTAAAAATTCAGAGAAACTAGCAGAAAAGAAGCCAGTTTTAATTTCTTATCATTTCCCAAATTCATTTTTCTGTAGAATTCTTCTTTTGTTGAATAGCATCAAGTAGCATCTCAAGGAACACCCTTTGGGAAATGCTGCTGAGAGAAGCTAAGAACTTGCTTCATAATTGTCAAGCACTGAAAAGGATTCATACTTGGGAAACTGGCAAACTCTTTTCCTGACCCTGACCCTTACCAGTAGTATAATCACGGGCAAGTCACTTGATTTCTTCACGTATAAAACAAAATGATAATATATCCTCCATGGACAGCCATAGAGAGAAGATTCATTACAAAATGCATTTACGGTAGGAACAGAAATTGACAATAAAAGTTAATATTGTCACAATGTGCATCCTAATTTACACCAAACTCATTGCAAGGAAGCAGGTCTTAAAAGTAAAGTCTGGAAGACTGGGAAGAGTTTGGGTGTACTCAGGTCAGAGCTATTGACTCAAGTGTGAGGTATGTGTAGAGACAGAGGAGGAATCAAGGCTGGGAAGACAGAGAAAAGGAGGAAGATAATTTGGTGCTGGGGTGCTGAGGACACTAATAGAAATGGTGAAAAACAAATGTGAGAAGGGGTGACTGAGGAGTAAAGCTAGACTCTTTTTTGGCATGCTAGTTTGAAGAGCAAGCAAACCATCCAGTTGGCAATTTCATTTATCTAGATCTTAGGAAAGAGTTCAGAGCTTGTGAAACAGGAAACATTAGCATATTACTGTGAAATTTTTGAGAGAAGAATCATTTCTTATTCAGCTCCATATCTTCTGTGTTCAACCTGGTGTCTGGTGCATAGTAGAAGCTCTTAAAAGTTTGATAAATGAATTAATCAATGAACAAATTAATTATCGGCAAGTCTAACAATTCGAAGTAGATTCCAAGTCGTATAATCAAAGCAGAATAAAACACCAGTTAAATGAATGAAATGATAGCTGAACCCCTGGAATTAGGAAGATCCACAATTAAAGGTGCATAGAGAAAAGGAAGAGGACCAAATACAAAATAAAGAGGTACAACTTATTTGATGGCTGACAGGAGCTAGAGAAAACAGAGTCAGAGAGACTGAAGGAGAAATGAGTGTTTTGCAAAAGGACCAGAAAGAAAGGAGAAAGTAGGTGTCAATGATATAAAATGATTCTGGGAGATCAAGT